ATCTGCGTGTTTGAAACTTTTTGCTGTTCAGAAAAATTGGTTCAAAGAGTTCTAGGAAAATCCATACTGTCTTCAGCAGATTTGGCCCCTTTTGTCTTCTCGTTCTCAATTTTGAAGAGAGATTAAATGAAATGATGGCGACTCATAAAAGTATACATCAGAACTGCTTCACAGATTAGACAAAATACTGGTCCCCCCACACACTAAGAGCAACTCACCTATGAGTTCTGCCCCCACCACGATGTCAAAATTATGTTTGGCGATTCAAATGAGCGGATGGGTGAAGAGAGCATTTTTGATACAATAGTTAGGACATTCAGTCCTCAGAATCAAGGATCCAAATATTCAAGATGTGCCAACATCGACTCGGATTACTTTTACGTCGTTGGAAAGATAAGCAGCGCCAACGAATACCGGGAGGTTTCGACGTAGCTAAACTGCAATTACAACAGAACGCCTAGCGATTTCTACTTGGCTTGCGAACTTGCTGCCTGAGAACACTCGTCAGCAACTCGATGTGAGGAATGGGAGAAACGGCTTACCAGATTTCCCAATCGCCGGCACTATGGCACAATGAAAGAAAAAGGATTGTCGAGGAATGTCGATCTTGGAGAGAAAATAGGCTGAAAGCATAAAGACCGGAGCATACTCTTGTAGAGAGCAAGGAAGTAATCCAGAAAATACCAAATGTATGGAGAGATCACTACTCCAGCGTACTAATTGGCCCAACACACCGCCTTAACTACTGTCCATAGAAACTAGAGCTCTGGGTATCGAGCACTGTGAGCCCGGATATCGAGTACTGTGTGCAACGCGATACTCGCTGTATACTCGTTCCTTGCTCAACTGCTCAAATGTTTGTCAAAATTGCTTTGGTATTTCAATGGGTTTGCACTTTGCATAAACAAAATTTAAAATTATAGAAGAGAGTTTTGGGAACAAATTAAAATTTTTTATCAAAATGTTCGAAAAAGCTCGTATTGCTCGAGCTCAAACTCGAAAATGTTCGAACAAAATCTTGAGCTCTAATAGAAACCCAAAATTTGCTGGGAGTTTTTTATACGTTTTGACAGATCAGCAAGGATTTTACGGTAAGTGGACCTTCGAAAAAATCGATTTTTTATTTAAATTGTTTGATTTTCATGAAATTTTTTAAACAGTTAACTCTTTACCTCAATTGGTATTCGGAACATTTTTTCTACCAGTACTTCGCGGTATATATGTATGTAATATATAAGAGCTCTAATAGGTTATAATAAAATTCATAATGTCAAAAATCTAATGGATCTTATTAAAACCATCTTAAAATTCCACGCGGACCGAGTCGCTTGTAAACTCTAGTACATGAAATAAATAGAAGAAAGTATGTGGAAAAAGAAAATGTGACGTAGAAATACCATATACCATGGGCACTGTATAAACAAAAATAGGAAACTTAAAGTAAAAAAGCAGCTGCATTTTGCGATAATCAAAGTTTAAAATATAATCCAGACTGTGTCTATGGCCAATCGCTACAAAGTGAGCTAATGTACACAATAAATATCACCGATACATGCAGATGTAAATATTTCTACTCCTAATCGCCAAGGCATAACCGCCATAACCAACCGACAGGTTCAGGTGTTTTTGGAATTTCAAAAAACTTTTTCTCAACGCTTGGATTAAAGAATTTGCATGTCATAGTTAATAAATTTTAGCGATTTTGTTATGAAAACTTGTTTCCGTACACGCCATGTTCATCCTCACACACCACATACATACATATAATAGAAACACCTATACAATTTTGTACTCTCCTCCAACTCAGTTTGATATTTTACATGTAAAAGTTGTACATGCGACCGCAGAACTTTTTCCACGCTGGCGGTATATTAAAAAATTAGCTATCAGCTTCGGTTTATATCGTAAATTCCATTAAAAAGTTTGCATCGATGGGTCTGCATTCACAACGAATTTGCCTCAGTCGCTGTATCTATATTTGTATCTGCATAAAACAGAATTTTTACAGCATCTGTTTGTTTAGCTTGCATATCCTTAGGCGCTTACTCGTGTAATGCATGTTTAGCCTACTTTTAGGTAAATTTGCAAATTGAATTCAAACAAACTTTACGCTTATTTTAATTATTTTTATCGAATGTTTTCGAAATTTTTTAAAAAGTTTCATACAAAAAAAAAATTTACAAAAAATGCGAGAGTGAAGCGAAAATTTGCTTGATTTACGTAAACAGAAATGTAAATATTTTTTTACTGGTACAAAGTATTGCTCAGTGCTTGGATGATTTATATAGATAACCCAGAGGCTCTTGCTTAATTAATTAAAGAATTAGTGAATTTAAATTAAGAAAATTCACCGAATATTGGAGCAATAAAATTAAGTGCAGCCTTGACCTCAAAAAGTCTTTAGAATGGAGATTTTATTCGAAAAGCGAATGAAGCAAATATTATGGGTTAATTTTGTTGTATAATTCTCACTGAGTTTTTGGCAAAAGTAGCTTAACCTCTTGGTGTGTAGAGAGTTAGAGTTGGTAAGTTTCTATACAAATGGTAGGTTCTAATACTCACACACAGGGAATAAGCCGCGGTGGAGGGCGGTGAGTTAAAATGATTCTTTATTTGAAAAAATACGATCTCCCACCAAGTTATACCGAACGATGCGTTCCAGTAATATCAACTGACTACTACTGCAGAACACAAATTCCCAGCAGGAAAGAATGGGTAGTTAACAACCATACTCCATACATGGCCGCCACAAAGCTTGAGGGGATAGTTGGCGCAGGTCTGAGAAGACAGGAAGATGGAACTCTCTTTCATTCTACCCGACCATTACAGTGGATTTGAGGAGGATATATCTGCTCATTATCATCATTGGGGAGGCTACAAAGCAAATCGGAGGCAGCTTTAAAGATGATATTGTCTTCATTTTCAACCATAGTCAGGCAGCAATAAAAGCACTGGTAGGCTTACACTAAATTCCAAAATAAGTGCTGGACTATCGCTCTTCTTTACAGGATATGGCCAAACTGGGTCCCTGGTTACATGGACACTGAAGGAAACTGTAAGGCAGATGAGCTTGCTAGGCGAGGTACGACAAAGTAGTTTCTTTTCGATAAAGAAGGCATTGACATGCCTTGTGTCACTTGCAAAGTGCCTCACGAGGAATTTACATATATATATATACAATCTGGCCAAGATGAGATTCAAGGACAGCGCGTGTACTTTTTTTTTAAAGAGGGGACATGTCAGAAGTAATAGCAGTTCTGACAGACCACTTTCAATAGATGATGCTGCATAAGCTGCAAGTGGGATGAGAAGTAGGAAACGCCATCGGCCATCTCTTATGTGACTGTACTGCTTTGAGCAGCGTAAGGTTTCGGAATTTCGGGACTTTACTGATGGATGGTCTAACGAAAAAAGCCGACTTCAAAGTCATGCATCTAATGAGGCTCATTGGTGCATCAATGTGGCTAGATAATGAAGCTACATGGTCAAGTTTGTATGGCATCATAATGAGTTTTAGTCAGACCCAACATAACTCCCCTTCGAATTTGTTCTGTACGTTCCGACAAAAATATTGCTGCAGTAGCTCAAAATGTGTTCTAGAACCGCCATGGAGATTAACTCGATGCGGTATTTTGCTTAAAGACCACGATATGAAGGCTTACAAGCTCCATATGATCCAAAGAACTGAATCCTCAAGACTATCCAAAGAAAGATGTTGCATTTGAGATCCAGAAAACTCATTTGGAAAATCCAATATGGCCGCAACGTGTGGCTGTCTGGTTCGACATGTTGAGCAGCTGTCACCGTCTCATACTCACGAGATTGTTTGTTTCCAAATGCCTAAGAGCATAACCAGAAGGATAAGTCGCAGTGCAGCTGTGATTAAAGTTAGCTGGTCGAATTTTAGGAGGAAGCTGTAAAGAAGAAGTTCTAAACGAACCACTTTGAGACGCCTCAAGACTTGAATTACGAAATTGAGTTCGGGACGTCAGCAATTGAGTGATAAGTTGGGTTAACATACAGAACAGAAAAGCTAGCCACGGCAGCTATATGAATGAAGTGACGATCCGCCATTAACTATAATGTTGAGGCATTTTAATTAAGGCAAAATAATGGAAAAATTAAAAAAGTATTCACACAACTTTTTTTATAACAATTTTAAGAACACAACATTTTCATAGCACATCTCTTATATGTAAAAAATTTTCAAAAATTTAGATATTCTTCTAGTAAGATTTTTTGTTCTTCGATTCAAATGGTATAAGTAATTTATAAACTTTCAAAAGTAATAATACTTTGTAAATAATAAAGAAATATTTGAGTGCCTTTGCAGACCATTGATTTAAAAATTTATAATAATTTCCATGCGCCTAAAATAATAAAAAATTAATAATGCAGGCTGTTGCTCAGTCAACTGCGTGATTTTCACTCAACAGCAATGGCAATAACGATGAGGTGGGCAGGCTACAAAGTACATATAATGGGCTGACGAAAACAATAACAGTAAATAAAGAAAAACGACAAAGGAAGGTTAAGAGGAGAAAAAAAAGTAAAATAAAAAATTGTTATGTGTTAATTTTTAAAATTGCGCGTCTATAAAAATGACATGAGGCATACATACACAAGCATGTCACTCATACGCCCTGTCATGCCGGCAACAGCACAGGAATATATATAATATGTACAAAGCAGCCGTGCAACAATAAAACGAGCGTCAACACTGTATTTGTTATGTGTTAACTTTGATTAAAGAGAAGGAAAATTTTTGTTACGTACATATATTTGCTTTAGCAGAGTCAGAAAAAAACTTTACTTCAATGATTGACAAACGCAATCCCAAGCGAGTCTGAACAATTAGAAACATGGGTAGATGTGACAGTTTTTCGAAGTAAAAAACCTGCAAAGGTTTTTGTAATTTTTCGTTGTATATTTTTCGCACTTTTCTTCTGATTTACTTAATGTTAGAAAAAAAAAACTTTTTGCTTATTATTAACACTTACCGTCATGTACTCATCCAGGCGATGCTTCCAATTGTCAGAACGATCGATTAGATTATTCCATTGCTCCGAGAGTTTCGCAACTTCCCGACGAATGCTGCGTGTTAGCTCCCTGCTCTGCTCCTCAGCGCTTAAGTAACGCGAATCACTGTCGTGCGCTATAAAAAGCAAACACAGAGCGATAAGACCAGCGATTAAAATGGAAAGGAAGAAAAGGAAAAAAGAAAAAATATTGTATTAAAAATTTTTTCTCAACTTTATGCATAAATAATGAAGTAAGAAACGTGACTGGGTTGATTATCGATATAAGTCACCCATACCCACATACTTTCACAGTTTGAAAGTGAAAGATTTTTTTTTTGCCTAAATATTATATATACTTTAAATTGCAACTCTGACGTGTGACTTGGGGAGATATCGTTGATTGCGCTGATTGGAAGTGATTAAATTCTTAGAACATCTCATTTGCCTGAGGCACTTTAACATGTTTGGGTATGCGAATATTTGTCAGTATACTTGCTGTTTATTATGGCAAGGAATATGTCTACCTGTCCTGATATTACGGTGTTTTTTATTTATTATTTATTTTGGGTTTGTGTTTAAAATTAAAAAGAAAATGTGATAATAACAAAGACAGAAAAACCTCTGTAATGGATACCTCTTGAGTTTTTTTAAAAAGAATTTTTAGAATAAATGACCTTCCGTTTGGTGAACTCTCTCTTAGACAAGCTTGGACTATTTTTTGCTACAATATTGAACAAAAAACCTCGATTGAGTGTACGCGAATCTCTTTTCAATGAACGAAGAGTGTATTTTTCTGCACAGATCCAACCGAAACCTCTGTTGGGCGAAGGCGAACTCTTTAAAGTCGGGCAAAAGTACAAAGTCAGTGAAATCTAATATTTGATTTTAATTAATTGCTGGTCATTACCAGTGCACTAAGAATAATAGATCCATTGCAATATCGCTGGGATGCTCCTGTCTTCACCGTCAGAAATGTCTGAGCCTTTGACTTATAAAAGCAACGATATTGCTAATGTTGAACGAGGCTAACTCAGCGAGATAGTCAAAGAAGTGTTTTCCAAGGAATTTGTGTCGCGTAGATGTCAAGGCTGAGTAGTGGCTGAGGTAGTGTTCAACATACTCATGTTCTTCCACATCTCTATAGCTGCAGCAAAAATCCTTGAAGCGACAGCACCGCCCATAAAGCCCCATTAAACAGTGACTAGCCTTTTTGACTGTTATTATGTTAATGGAGAACTAGTCTGGAAGAATAAGATGTTTCGATTTTTTCGGATGTAACTTTGATCAAAGCTGCCTTGTCACGTTACATGTGATCTCATTTAGCCATCTTGAGTATGCTGCTTTGTCAAAACATACACTTGCCATGGACCTTTATACTATGCATGTTTTATCATAAATATAACGCTACTTCGCTTGCCTGGGATGTAACTGTTTCGCAGCCCACCTTTTCATCTGATTGGGGGCGTTGTTATTTTCCCGCATCAAACTTTTGTAGGCCAACTGAATGACAGGAAAAATGGAACATCAATCGAAGATGGATGGAAAAGACGTTCCATTACCCGACTAAGAAGAAGTTTGAATAGCGATTGCCTGATACTATGGCCGATGCCGATGGTTTACGAGCAGAGCTATTCCAATATAGCGGGGAAAAGCTAAAAAGTTACGTGCTTGAGCTTCTCTGCGATATATGGTAGGACGAAAGCATGCCCTTCACTTAGAATATGATGGATGATGTATATTGATACCTTAAGAATCGCGCCGCAATCTTATATGGTGCAGAAGCGTGGACGATGTCAATATCTGAAGTGTCGGTCTTGGAAGTCTTCGAGAGAGAAACTTTGTGAACGATTTGTGGTCCTTTGCTCATTGGTAACGGTGAATACCAGTGACGATGGAAGGGTGAGTTATATGAGATGTACGGCGACAGTGAAATAGTTCAGCGAGTCAAGAATAAGCGGCTGCGATGGCTAGGTCCTGTCATCCGGATGAAGAGGAATAATCCAGCTTTGAAAGTATTCGATGCAGTACGCGCAGGTGGAAGCAGAGGAAAACCTCCACCTGATTAGGTAGGAAGCGATCTAGTTTCACTTGTTATTTCCCACTGACGACAAACAGCGAAAAGAAGAGATGAATGGCGTAATATTGTTAACTCGGTCAAACTCGCGTTAGCCAACGCCAATAAAGTAGAAGAGATAGTAGAAGAAGCGGCAGAAGAAGAGGAACAATAAGAGGTATAAGAGGAGGAAGAAGAAAAGGAAGAATAAGAGGTATAAGAGGAGGAAGAAGAAGAGGAAGAAGAAGAGGAAGAAGAAGAGGAAGAAAAAGAGGAAGAAAAAGAGGCAGAAGAAGAGGAAGAATAAGAGGTATGAGAAGAGGAAGAAGAAGAGGAAGAAGAATAGGAAGAAGAAGAGGAAGAAGAAGAGGAAGAAGAATAGGAAGAAGAATAGGAAGAAGAAGAGGAAGAAGAGGAAGAAAAAGAGGAAAGAGTTTTTTTTTTAGCTGAAATAGCACCTTAAAGCGGATACCTGAGACTGAGTGTACACGTAAGCAAGGCTTTTAAACGTTTTAAGTCAACATATTGACCTATTCCTATACAAATTTATATGTGTGTGTTTATGAAATATTTGAAAATTAATTTCTCTTATCAAAATTTAAACTCACTAAAAAACGATTTGACATAATCTTAAATTAAAAGCATTATTTTGCAAACCTTTAATGCTAAACTGGCGTTAAGTAAAATTTTTCTAATAAAATTGAAGCTTAAGTTGCTCATACGCAGTGTCGTACAAACAACCATGATATTCATGACGTATATGGAAACATGATTCTAAAAAAGTATGAAATACACGGAACATATTATAAAATGTTTCTCCGCACGTTAAATCACTTTTTTCTAAATATATATGCTCTATTAATTTTAAGAGAATTTTGTTCATTATTTATTCATTTTCAATGACACCCACGTCTGTTTGAATTTAATTTCTTTATTTTATCACTTTTATGCAAATATTATTATGTTTACATTTTAGCCATTCTTCTGCTGCTTTGTCTATTTCTTTCTTTTTTTTGTATTTTTTTTTTTTTTTTGTATTTGTAAGCCTTGTCAACTTTGTGTCTGTTGTGTGGTAAACACAAATAAAATCTTACAAACATTCAATATGCACAACAGGTTTTCTTCGAAAATAAATTTACATACAATTTAATTTTGAAAAGGATTTTCTTTGACATTTTCTCCCTTTTCGTTTTGTTTTTCTAAGGTCGTATGCTATTTACATTATGTTGTCACGGCGTGTAGCTTTTATTTCAATTTAAATGAAATTTAAATATATTAAAATTGACAAATAACTCAATTTAATAATGAAAGCAGGAAAAACAATTTTTGTGGAATTTTTTTTTCATTTCGGAAGTGAATGAGAATAAAGGAGTGTAATATGTTTTCGAAATTAAGAGGTAAAACCACTGTAGAGGTTGAAAAATAAACTAATTTTTAAAATTTATTGTAGAGATATGGGAAAGAGAATAAAGTTTCTATTTAACCATTTCATTAAACACAAATTGAAGTGCAAAAAAATATTCTTTAACTATTATTTTGTTACAAAATAACGGTAAAAAATGGACTTTTATTTAATCCATATTTTTTTTTGTTTGAAAGGCGCTCACGGTAAGACCGATTTCTGCCAAAGGATGAGACCTAGAACAGAAAAGCAAAAAGCTTCAGGTTGCAACAACGGTTTTTGGAAGTACGGATTTGTTTTTTAACTAATTTTTGTGAAAGCGGCAAATTTTTTTTTAAAGATTGTTTTTTAACTAGAAAATTATTAAAAAAAGTTTACGTTTAGTCGAAAAATGCCTAAGTGTTGGGTGTATGCATTAATTCGTGTGATTTTTTTTTTCGAAAATAAAGACTTTATTGTGAAAATATTGTTATACATTTAATGTTCAAAGTCACATAGGGAGCTACGATATTTGCCCATCTTTCTAGCAGTTTGTGGATCCCATCCCAAAAGAACTTCTCCGGCTTAGAGGTCAAGAGAGAATCGAGCCAATTTCTGATACCCTGTTCTGAAGTAAAACGTACTCCAGTGAGGACATTTTGCATTGCTCGGAACAAGTGGTAATCGGAAGGTGCTATGTCTGGGCTATAAGGCGGGTGAGGTAGAGCTTCCCATCCACAATTTCCCAAATAGTTTTTAACTGGCTTTGCAACATGTGGCCGAGCGTTGTCATGATGAAAAATTATTATCTCGTTTCTGGTCTCATATTCTGGTTGTTTTTCCGCTAATAAGAAATTTGTATTTTCCAAAATCCAGTGTGGCCTTATCCCTGAAGTGAAATAGTCAAATATAAAGAAAATACAAAAAACAATAACGAAATACATTCGCTTTTTACTTGACGAATTTAGCCGAGCAAAAAGCTTACAATAAAATCAATCATCAGTTGGAAATCGTAATATTTTACAGTAAAACGAATTTCAAATGCAATCAAAAAATATGCGAGTAAACAAAAACTTGTTTTGCACTACAAAATATTCTAAAATTCAACGAAATTTCATTTGAGAATAGAAACATAGAAACATAGAAACAGTGAAATTTTTCCGACTCACTAAGTTTATTAAATTTGCAGGAAGCTTTTCAAAAAAAGATTGCACAGTTCATGTTGATGTTAGAAGCGAAAAATATGCAAAAAAAAAAAAACAAAAAACAAAAAAAAAAAAAAATCGAACGAAAACCAAAAAAAAGTTGTATACAATACATACANAAAAAAAAAAAAAAAAAACGGAAAATATTCGAACAAAGCATTTGAGACACATCGCCCTGTTGTTGCTCATAACGAAAACCGAGAGTATAGCAAATGACGGAAAAATCAGTAAACAAGATTTTCACCGAAAGGCAAGAGAAGTTGAAATACCAAATATCAAATTAAGCGATAAGCATAATGGAGATGGAAGAATGTATCAAAGCGAAGCGCAGGGAAACATGTTTTGCATATCGCTAACGGTATTGTGCTGCATACAAGTTGGATGAGATGAAGGTGGGTGGATATACAACTGGCCTGCGGACTTTCCATGGCGTTGTTAAATGTAATAAATCGATGAAAGCTGCATTGTACAAATGCACATACATACACACACACA